TTTTTTTTTTTTTTTTTTTTTTGGTACCAGGGATTGAACTCGGGTCCTTACGCTTACAAGGCAGGCCACCTAACCACTGAGCTGAATCCCCGGCCTCGATATTTTTAAGTATATTTGAGAGGTGAGGTTCTTACCTTGTGATTTGTAGATATTTCCCCATTGTATGAGTTATCTTTTCATTCTCTTGATAGTATCATTTGATTCATGGGTTTTGTATATTTTGTAGCACTAAACTGATTCCCCAGTCTTTTTTATTTATTTCTATTTTGAGGCAGGATCTTGCTAAATGGCTTAGGCTGGCCTCCTTCTGCCTTAGCCTCCTGAGTAGCTGAGATCACAGGCACGTACTACCATATCTGGCCCTCTAAATTTTAATTTTTGGGGTGGGGGGTACCAGGGATCAAACTCGGACCCTTGCACTTGTGAGGCAGGCGTTGGAACCACTGAGCCAAATCCCTGGCCCTAAATTTTAAATTTTGATGAAGATAAATTATCTGTGCAGATGTCCCTTGACTTATAATTGGAATGTGCTCTGATTAACCCATCATAAATTTAAAATATGTTAAGATAACAATGCATTTAAAAGCCAGGCCTAGTGGCACACGGCTGTAATCCCAGTGCTCTGGAAGGCTGAGGCAGGAGGATCAAAAATTTGAACTTAGCCTGGCAACTTAGCAAGTTAGCGAGACCCTATCTCAAATTTTTAAAAGGGCTGGAGATGTAGCTCAGTGTAACTCAGTGAGTTCAATTCCCAGCACCACACACACATACATATACACACACATCATAGCTCTGCCCAGCATACCTTAAATGTGCTCAGAGCACTTATGTCAGATCACAGTTGGGCAAAACAATATAATATGAAGACTATTTTATCTGACAGTGTTGACTATGTCATACAATTGTACTGAAAGTGACAGTGCCTTTAGTGTTGTACCTGAGAAGCCACTGCCACACCTAAGCACAAGATGTGGAATCAGTATTTTGGGCAGCTTGTCAGCTGATCCCAATGCAACGACTGAAAGTGAAGGAGACCAACCCTGGGGTAGGGACACCAGCCAAGCTTGGGGGACAGAGGGGAGAGGTCAGGGACTGGGGAGGCCCGAGTTGGACAGGATGCTCTTGGTCAGGGATCATGGCTGTGGGCACTGCCTGGGCAGAGCTGAGGTATCCCAAGCTTGGACACGCAATCACCTGCCTGTGCTTTCACAGCTGGGGCAGAGTTGAGACTTCTCCACACTCTCAGACCCATGAACTCCAAAGTGTGGTTCCCAGGACTGCGATGGCAGCAGTTGTTTTTGGTGGGACAAAATCCCACCAGAGGCACAGGCAGGGCCTGGAGATCTGTATGAGCCTGAGTCCTTCCAGCACACAGCAGGGAGCATCCAGTCTGGGACCAGACCGGAGGGAACCCCTGCCTGGGTCCCCAAGGGCATCCTACAGGCTCAGCGTCCTCTCAGAGATGGCTCCTCCAGCCCAGCGCCTGAGCCTTCAGCACCAGCAGGCCAAACCCGGTTCAGTCCCAGTTCCATCCTGACCTTTAGGGCACTGTGGTGGCAGTCCAGCATTTGAGGACACCTCTGCTCAGTCCCCCAAAGGCTCCTCTGCAGGGCTGAGCAGCCAGACCGCAGCACTCAGGGCTCTTGTGGGCATGGGAACTGAAGAGGGCCAGCACTCTGCAGAGGCTGCAGAAAGCCTTGCCCCGCGTCCCCCTACACCCCCACACCACTACCACCAACGCCACTGCTCTGTCCCCACTGCCCTGGGTCACCTGAGGAGGCTCGATGAGCTGCCAGAGTGTGACCGGTCACTCTCCCGGCCTGCAACAATGGCCTTCCACGTTTTCCCGCTGAGCTCACTGGGGGTGACACCCTGACGGAAGTACACAGCTCGCTCCTCACAGCCGATGCCCCAAACCTGGAGAGAGAGGCACTGTTCAAGGAAGGCTGGGTCAGACATAGGGCTCCTGAGTCTTTCTGGGGGTTCAAGGGGGCAGCAGGAGTCCAGCAGGGTGGAAGGACAATGGCAAACCCAGGAGGAGCCCCCCGCCATGCCATGCAGTGGGGTGTGGGTGTGAGACTGGGCAAGGGCCAGGGCTAGGGAGGTTAGGGGGCTCAGAAACAGGGACCTGGGAGTGGTTCTCTGATGTCAGGCAAACTCAGGGCAGGGCTTAGAGGACAAAGTGGGTGTACAGGCACTGTGCTGGGGCCCAAGGTCCACCTGTGTCCCTGTCTTCCTGTGGCTTCCTGTGGGAAGCTGCTCCCTAAGGGAACATCTGTGCTCTAGGTGCTGAGCGCTGGGGTTGTCAGCGTCACAGAAAGGGGCTGCACCTTTGAGCCTGAACTGTACCCAGGAAGAGGCCATGCTGTCAAATGCAGAGGTGATGCTTACAAGAAGCAGCATCCACAGAGTCAGGAGACCAATTCCACCCCTCACTTGGTGAACACTAAGTATAAGGGCTGATCAAAAATATGGTGAATGTTTAAACTTAAAAAGAAAAATTGTTACAGAAAAAGACACCTTGTTATTCATCCCCTTCAAGTTACTCTCCCTCACACTGAACACACTTATTCCATCATTTCTATCACTTCCTAAAGCGGTTCTGGAAGTCCTCTTTCACGTCACTATGAAATGTAATAAAAAATATAATGAATGGTACTGCTGAGTGCCATCCGATGGAAAAGCAGGCTCATAAAAAAGTGAGTCCTCGTCCACCTTGTTCATCAGATCTGGCATCATGTGACTACTGGCTACTCCCCGAAGTCAAAATGACCATGAAAGGAAAATGTTTTGAATCAATTCAGGACATCAGGGGAACTACAACGGCGCAACTAAAGACGCTCAGGAAAGAGGGCTCCAGAGCTGCTGCAGAAAGTGGCAAGGACAATTGCTCCTCAGTCTCTTGGCTAAGATCAAGTGTGGCAAGTGGCATAGGACAATGGGTAAGTGTGTTCTAAGTGAGGGGCTTAAGAGCAATAATGTGCCTTTTACTGCAATCAATTTGTGAATTTAAACATACATGATATTTTTCGATCACACCTCGAATGTCCCCATGACACCTTGCAGCCTGCAGATGCGGGCCCCACCCCCAGCAGATCTGCGCTCACTACTCTGACACCTTACCTAAGCAACCCAGAGCAGCCTGCTGGGTGCCCTCAAAGGTGGGGACCCCTGCCACTGGGAAGGGACAGCGGAGGCAGGGTGGACATACTGCATCAGGAGCCCTAGGAGTCGCATGCCCACCTGGTCATTCAGCCCCACGTTCACCATCATCATCTCCCCGACCATCTCAATCCAGCTGGTGCCACAAGGGTTGTGTGAGTTGACGCCTCTTCGGAACCACACCTGGAAGGGGCAGAAAAGAAAACGTTTCCCCAGAGGCCACAGAAACAGGGCTATATTTTTCCCTTGATTGACTGATTGTCACATTGGGGATAGAACCCAGAGGCTTTACACTGAACTGTATCCCCAGCCCTTTATTTTATATTTTTAGTTTGAGTCAGAATCTTGCTAAGTCTCTAAGATACCCAGGCTGAATTTGAATTTTTGATCCTCCTGCCTCAGCTTCCTAGAGCGCTGGGATTATAGGTGTGCACCACCATGCCCAGGTAATTGGGGGCTTTTTCAGGGCTCAGAAAGAATAAATAAATAATAAGAGTGAGCAAGGCCAGTGCAACGTCCAGCTTCCCGCAGCCATGCCTGTGCCTGCCTGTGCTTAGCACTGTCCTATAAGGGCTGAGAGTCACGTGCCTCAGCTACATGTGTCCCTGACCCACACGTGGAAAAGATCATTTTCTTGATTCAACTTGTCCTCTGTATGAGACAGTGGCCTTAGTGAGGTTATATAGGAAAACTACAAACTCATTATTAGAATAAATGGCCTATTTGGGGTCTACATTTAATGCTTTATGTTATCTCCTTAATATCAACTTGTAAAACTATGCACCATCCAATTAAAATTTCCCAGGCCTGCCTGTAGTTCCAAGGCTCACCTGGTGGACATGGCTCCCAAGCTGGCCCATTGTCCCCTAGGGCTCTACCATTTGGAGGGTGGGCCACACTGGGCCCCTGAGATCCTGGTAAATCAGCATTCATGCTGAATTTATTTATTTATTTATTTATTTTTAGTTTTTTGAGACAGGGTCTCACTATGTAGTTGAGACTGCCCTGGAACTCACTATGTAGCCCAGGCTGGTCTCAAACTCACAGCGATCCTCCTGCCTCAACCTCCCAAGTGCTGGGATTACAGGCATGTGCCAGCACGCCTGGCTCATGCTGAATTTCTAAGGTGCACTGTGTGACAGTTACATGAGAAAACACTGAAATGCCTCTCATGAACATTTCTAGAAAGCTGGGCATTCTGGCATCATGCACGTGGAGTCCTAGCTACTCAAGAGGCTGAGGCGGGAGGATTGCTTGAGCCTGGAAATTCAAGACCACCTTGAGCAACAGAGCAACATAGCTAGATCTCTTAAAAAAAAAAAAGACAAAACAAAAATCTAGAATGTATCTTCTAAACCCAAAGAAAGTGAGCATATTAAATATATGACAACTGAGCAGACATATACACAAATCCAATTTTTGCTTATTTAAGCCAAAGGGAAGGACATGTCACTATAAGCAGGGCTTGGCAGTTACAGTCCCTGGGAAGCGGGGTGCCTGGAACGCACTGGGGAGACAATGACACCCATATTTTGTCAGGCTGGATGTGGCTTGCGGTCTGGACCTCTGGGTGCTGGCGATACAGACTCAGATATATGAGCATTCATCCTCTTGGGTGCCAGGGAACCCCCCTTGGACCTGCCTCTGATGAGACAGAAATACAATGGTGGGTCACTCTGAGAGGCTGTGGCAGGAGGATCCCAAGTTTAAGCCAAGCCTGGGCAATTTAGTGACTTAAAATTTTGTACCAAAAATTTTAAAAAGTTAAAAATAAGTTAAAACGGGGCCGGGGATTTAGCTCAGTGGTGCCACTGCCTGCTTCGCAAGTGCAAGGACCCAAGTTCGATCCCCGGTACCAAAAAAATAAAAAATAAAAAAATTTAAACAGAGCTGGTGGCGTAGTTCAGTGTAAAGGCCCTGGGTTCTTTAGTGACTTAAAATTTTGTACCAAAAATTTTAAAAAGTTAAAAATAAGTTAAAACGGGGCCGGGGATTTAGCTCAGTGGCCCCACTGCCTGCTTCGCAAGTGCAAGGACCCAAGTTCGATCCCCGGTACCAAAAAAATAAAAAATAAAAAAATTTAAACAGAGCTGGTGGCGTAGTTCAGTGTAAAGGCCCTGGGTTCAATCACTAGTAACACACACACACACACACACACACACACACACACACAAGCACTGAATAGGGGAAGGGAGAGGAGAGGCGTTTTAACTGAGTCTCAGCAAATTAGTTTCTGATTATCTGAAATGTTTGGCCTAATATAGTTGCTCTGCAGTTTGGTACTTGGGTGTAAGGAAAGAGACTTCTACATCAAACTTCCTGGATACAGGCACATAATTTCAACAAAACCAACGCTCACAGTGCTTGGTAGATGCTGGATTTGCCATTATCGGTTCAGACAACCTTTACAAAACAACCCCAATATTAAGTGGCACCTGCAGAGCTGCCCTCAAGCCCCAGCAACACTGTCTTACCTTCCGGTCCTTGGTGACAGCCCAGACGACACTCATTCCGACGGAGATGTGCATGATCCCATTCTCAGCCCCAGGAGGCTCCACTATGGACCACGAACTGCCTAGCAGCCCCCAAGAAACCCCAGGCAGCCTCCATCAGCCACAATGCTGGGAGGCACCTCCACCTCCCCCAGGACAGGGTCATCTACCTTTGGGGTTGTTCCTGTTGATCCCCTCCCGGACCAAGGCCTGCCCCTCCCAGAGGGTGACCCACAGCAGGTCGTTGGGCCCACAGCTGATCTGGACAGCCTCCCCTGGGGTGTCCACCAGAGACCATGACGAGCCTTCCGGGTTGGGGTGGCTGACATCCTCTCTGTACCACACCTGGGAAACAACAGAAGGGTGTGGTACCTATGTGTCCTACTGGTACAGCTGTACAGCTGTGCATGGGGCTCTCTGGGTACCCCCCAGTGTGCAGACCCCCACCCAGTTCTCACCTGCCCCATTCATCTGGAGGTAAGGCCCCAGCCACCCATCCACCATGTGCAACTCCAGCCCCCAGCCTATGTGTCCTGCGCCCCCTAGTGGTGAAATGCCCTCAGGACACCCACCTCCAGGGGCAGCCAAAGTCCAGGGGAGCTAAGTGGGAAAATCCCAACCCATTTTTCATACCAATTTCCACTTTTCTTGCTCTTTAATCTGAATAGCCAAGTCTGCACAATGCCCTCATATCATCCAGGTTTTGGCTCACTTCACCAGAGGAGGCCACACATCTCTACAATTCAGGCCAGGCCAATGACTCACTACAGAATCTTCAGACTGGGGTCCCAACACCCCATCCTTACAATGGACCTTCTGGCTAGGCCTGGGAAGCCTCCTTCCTGGTACCACCTCTTATGGACCACAGGAATGGCGCTGGCACTTGGGGAACACAAACACTGCTGTGGCCCTGACCTCTCTCTGCATCCAGGTGGACAAGGCTCCTTGTCAGGGACTCCATCTCCAGCCGGTGCCCTCACCCTGCTCACACCTTCCGCCACCCCTCAGCAGGACACAGAGGAAGCAGCTGTGGTTAACCTGAGCCTTGGCTGGGTGGGACCCCAGAGGCAAGGCTACTAAAAATAACCTGCCATGACAAGTCCAAAGCACAGCAGACCTGTGGTCAATCTGTGGTGGAAGCCACTGCACAATTGTAAAGAATCATCCAAAACCATGGCAAGAGGGCTGGGTTCCCTGAGCTGCCACCGCCGCCAGGAGTAGTTTTGTTCCTTTTTATGTAGTTTACAGAGTCTCTCAGAAAAGGATGTTTTCTCTCTAAACATCCACATACAGCATTCATCCATCCACACACCCAACCCCTGCCTACGTATCCACCCACGTATCCACCTACCTACGCATCATCCAACAATTCACCCACCATCTACCCATCCACACACCTAATAGCTATCCATTCATACATCTACCCACCCCACAGCCATCCCATCTAGGCATCTATATATCCATCACCTATCCAGCCATCCACACAGCAACCATCTACACACCAACACCCACCCACCATCCACCAAGTCACCTGTCCCTCCACATAGCATCCATCCCTTCACCCACCCACCACACACACACATACACACACATACACACACACCATCCATCCACTGATCTACCTACCCACCAACTATCCACCCACACACCCAGTCACAATACTCCTGGAGACTGTGAGAAGCACCAACAGGGAGCAGGCCGGGAGCCCAGAATCTGTCTAAGGAGACAATCTGGATAGCATATGAGCCCAGGGTGCCCAGGAGAAGCAAGCCAGGACCAGGCATGGGATGGGGAATCAGAGGCTTCTGGGAGGACTGGGATCCAGGGGACCACAAGACGGGGACACACAGGAGGGGGTTGATGGGGAGCCTGGTAAGGTGCTGACTCTCTGGAAGGCCTGACCCCAGGGACAGGAGGCATGGAGGTCTCCGGCCTGGTCCTGACTGGCCAGTGCCTGGGCTGCCTCCCTTGCTATACTGCACCCAGGGCCTGTGAACAGTGGCCTTACCTTTCCCTGCAGAGACACAGCCCACACTGACAGGCGGCCCACAGGCTCTTCTGTGATCTCCCATCCCCCCACAGAGAGGTCATTAAAGGGGTCAGGCAGGTCCTTGGGGTCATCCTTTGAGGGGATCTGAAAAGAGGAGGCAACACATAGCGGCTATCATGACCTGTTGACTACCTGGTGAGGCATCTATGCTGGGTCCCCTCCTTCCTCTCCAGCTGGGCCCATACTGCCTGATCTCATAAAGAAGGCATGGACAGGAATGCAGGATTTTGGCTCTGGGCTCTCTCTGCCCTGCCATGTCAGACACCAGGCCGGGTATCATCTTGGAGTGGCTATGGGTCGGCTCTGGGCTTGAGACTGCCTGTTGAGATTTGTTCTCTGGAACCTGGGGCTCCTGGCAGACCCAGCCACTGTGCCAGGAACACGGTGAGGTGAGGTGAGTGCCCGAGACCCTCTCTCTTTGGAAGCCATGGCAGGACAACTCAAAAGAGCAGGTCTCAGGGTGGGCTTGTGTCCCCTTAGGCACAGACCTTGGCCCAGATGTCTCGGGACTTGTATCGCCTATATCGGATCCACTTCCGCCGCCGCACACATGAATTCCACTTCTTGTCTCTCGTATAGGTGGCAGGGAAGTCCATGGCATAGGTCCACCCCTGAAATGCCAGAGGCGGGACTCCATAAGGCTCTGGGGGCAGAGATTCAAAGATGGGAGAAAGAGGAGGGTGTCGGGAGTGTGATGGCAGGACTCAAATGCGTGGCCCCATAGGAAACAGAAGTCAGACCCCGTAGGGCACAGCTGGAAGGAGTGGGACTGCACCAAGGGACAGGCTGAGCGCCAACCCCCCAGGGCCCCCTCCCAAGCTGGCCAAGGTGGGTACTGAGTTTACCTACCCCTTTCTCGGTGGGTTCCCCTCCAAAATTCTCATCCACGTACCAGTCTGACTCCCACTCCCAGTGAGGCGATGGTAGTGCCACCCCATCCAGCAGCCGGTGCTGGAGGCCACTCACGTCACTCCATGACCAGCGGTCACTCGGTAGGAGCTTCTCGCAGAAGCCACTCATGGGGTTCCAGCGCTGGGACCAGGGACACAGAGATGGCCTTAGGTCTGAGCCTGCCAGGAGCAGACCCAGCAGGAAGGGTCTCTCAGGCCCCTCCCGGGATCAAAGACCCCAGGCCACTTCATCAAATCCAATACAATCCCAAGATGCCTGTAATCTCAGCACTCTGGGAGGGAGGCTGAGGCAGGAGGATTACAAAGGGAAGCCCAGCCTAGCCCACTTACTGATTTTGTAAAACCCTGTCTCAAAAAAAAAAAAAGGTTGAGCAGGGAGCTTACTACAAAGGCCTTGGGTTCAATGCCCAGTAGTACTACAAAGAGAGAAAAATAAAACCCAGGGAATCAACACAGCCCCAAAGGATAGAGAACCCACAGCCATGGTGCTGCAAGGCGGGTAAGCAGGAGGACTGGCTCCTGGATGCCCACAGTCCATCCTGGCAGACCCGTCCCAGTGTGCTCTGGAGGAGACTGAATGCTATGCCAGGTGGAAGGGACAGATGCAGGGGCTCTCTTCTCTTCTTCAGTTCATGTGAAGCCGAATCCCAGGATATGGGTCACTTTAGCACTTGCCCACGAGTGGGCTGCTACCTGGTTCTCATAGGCCTCCTCTCGGCGGCGGATGGGGACATCGCTGGCACACATGTACAGGTACACCTGATTGTCACAGGCAATGCCCCAGCAGCACTGCGTGGCTGCGCTGACCCGCTTGAACTCCAGCTGGGTGTCCTTGCATAGTTCCCAGTACTGGCCAGCCGTGGAGAGGGTGTAGACTCTGCCAAAGAGGTCCACGGCCCACAGCACAGATGCGGGCATGGCGCCGGCAGCTGGAGGGAAATCGGAGGCAAGGAGGAGGGATGTCAGTGTCCTGTCTCTAGCCTAGGGACATGGAGGTAGGGGGGGTACTTGGGGAACTTCTGCTGTGACTCTCATGCCACAGATGGCAAAATACAGTCCAGAGAGAGAAGCAGATGATCACCCCACAGATGAGAGGCAGAGCCTGGCTTCCAATGTAGATAGCTGTTTTCTTTCTTTGGCTTTCTTTCCTCCTTACTTATTTATGTGTTATTTGGGATTGAACTCAGGGCCTTCACACTGAGCTACATCCCAAAGCCCCTTTAAAATTCTGAGACAAGCTCTCATTAAGTCACTAAGCTGTCTAGGCTGGGCTTAAGCCTGTGATCCTCCTGCCTCATCCTCCCAGTACTCTGGGATTACAGATGTGCACCACTATGCCTGGCTCCTTCTTTCTTGTTATGGGGATTTTTTTTCCCCCGTTACCAGGGATTGCACTGGCCAGGCAAGTGTGGTACTGCTGAGCTACATCCCTGGCCCAGGGGATTTTTTTTTTTACAAACACATAACAAAGTACAGGGCAAATGAAAGGTAACATCTATGTATTTACCTCTTCAAATTTAATGATCATTATTCTGTTACAAAGTTTCTTTGGATCTTTCCTTTCAAATGAATAAATGAAAGCCCATAGATTTATCTGAATCTCTATCCCCTCTGCTGGTCTCACTATGACAGTCCTTCCACATAAGCCTGGCATCCCAACTGGAATCTTGTGTGGTCCTGCAGGAGCCAGGTGACCATGGAATTCTAGGACACAAAGGTCCATCCCTCTTTACCCCCAACACGAGGGTCTCTCCTGCCATTCTCCACTCCTTCCTCCTCTTTCTTTGCACTCTAGATGGGGGCCAAGCTGCCACTGACTTTCCCTGTGCCCAGGGCTGACACTATTCTGCTTCCTGAGGTAAATCATAGAGACCTGGCTTCCAGTAAAAATAAGCTTCCTACTATGGTGGGGCCACATGGCCAAGCCCGAGGGAGCCAGACCCAAGGAAGCCAGAGGCAGAGCAAATGGAGGAGGCTCAGGGGAGTCACAAGGAAAAACTGGGCCAGACAGGGTGGCTTCCAGACCCAACAAGGGAACACTGCCCTCAGGTGACAAGAGAGGATGGTCAGAGGCTCCAGACAAGACACCTGTCTGGTTTCCAAAGCTACCAGAAGGTGTATTTAGATGCCTTGAGGCTGGGATTGATGCTGAGCTCCAGATGGTGCTGTAAGGACATCTGTGATGTCAGAGGCAAAATAAGCCTCTTCTGGAACAAAGTGAGTCTGAAAATGCAGTCTGAGAAGGAAGTGACAGAGGGGAACAAGGAACTGAAAGACGGGAGGCAGAATGGAAGCCAAGTTTTTGGGAAACATCTCTGACAGGAAAGTACAGAAGACAACAGGAGGAAGAATGAGAAGAGACCCCCTCAGAACTGCTGGCCTCCAAAACCTCAGGGGCAACACATCTACATACATGCAGACATACAGAGCTACCTAGGAACTTTGACCTGGGTCAGGTGCCTAAGTCGGGACCCTGGTGACCCCTAGCTGCCCCTTCTGCCTGCTTGGAGTCCTTCTGACACCTTCACAGTAACTAAGAATACTCAGAACTTCCCAGACCCACACTGACAGAATTTGGCACTTAATTTATTTTTGTATACAAATCAGAAAGGGCCAGGTGTGGTGGTGCAATCCCAGCACCCTGGGAGGCTGAGGAAGGAGGGTCCCTAATTCAAGCCCAGTCTAGGAAATTTAGCAAGACTTATCTCAAAGTAAAAAACAAAAAGGGCTAAGGATGTGGAGATGTAGCTCAGTATAAAGGCCCTGGGTTCAATTTCCAGTACTCCCACAAAAATGCCAGAAAGTAATAGTGACCCACTTACTTTGTGAGAATTAAATGAGGTAATACTTATAAACATTGTTCAGTACTCAATAAGAATTGAATGAGTGGTACTGATGTCATATTATTACTAGGCATTTGCTACCACACTCTGTCATTTATCTCCTATGTCTTAAAAAAAAAAAAATCAAATCCCTTTCTGGTCACCTGAGTCTTGAGCCTCTCTCGTTTTCTCATAACAGTGCTAGGCACACAGACTGTTCAACCAATGTTTAATGATAATCACCTCCACCCACAACCAACACACTGTCATCCCTGAGCCTAGTCAGAAATACTGCTCCTGGAAAGGGAAACCACAGACAACTTGAAAAGTAAGGCACGACTCTTGGGCAGATATGTGATAAAACGGATACTAAGGCAATTTTCTGGCTGCTAGGTGCGGGATTGCTCGAAAGCTACACCAGGATCCAAAGGAGTGTGGAAAACAACAGGATTTGCATGACAGTTGAGTCCTTCCTGAAGAATAGGGTCTGTCTAGCCTCACCAGGCAGGAGGTTCCCTGAGTCGACCTGGCTTGTACCCCAGCTCCCGCACTGGGCGACAGGTGGGCCCCTGCCTGGCCACCAGGAGCAAATGTCGAGTGCAAGGCCATCTGCCTACGCTAATCCCAGCACAAGCGGATTTGCTTCCACGGCTGCCCAGGAAGAAGACTCCCATGTAACTCCGTTCTCTAAAGCCGCTAGGTTGCAGCGATCTGCTTCTCCAACCATTCCAGTCCAAGGAGTGGGGGCGTCCTCAGAGGGAGTCGGCGTCCCGCGGGGGGCGGGGCGGCGCCCGCCAGGTGTGCTGGACGGAGCACACATAGAACCTCTCCCTCCCTTCTTCCCTCCCCAGGGTCCGAGCAAACGCATCCAGCAGAGGCGCCACTGACCCCGCTGCCGGAAACTTCCTAGACTAGTAATAGCGCCAGCCGCCCGTGGTCGCCGCGAAGAGGTGAGCCCGACACACTCACCTGGGCCGGCGCCCGGGGTAGCCCGGGTTGCTCCAGATGCTCCTCCTCTGTTGAACTAGCAGGCCGGCCCTCCCCAGCTGCAGGCGAGGGTGGGCCGGAAGTGGGGCGCGGACCCACGCCAATTGGCCAGAGCTGTCATGACGTAACGACCTGGGGCGCGCGGTTGGCTGGTGTCTAGCTGATTTTGGGGCTGCTCAGGCTGGCGCGCCCGTCCACTTCCGGGGTCGCGCCAGGTTTGGCGCCGGAGGTCGAGTGGAGAGAGGTCCCTACGCTTTCCGGCCACCCAAACCAGTGCCGACCTCTCGCCTACCCTAGGACCTGGAGGTGTGACGCGGGGCCTGTAGACGAGACGGGGTAGGTCGGGCTGTCTGGGCCGCGGGCTGTGTTAACCCGAGGAGCGCCCACGTGTGGGCGCCGTGCCTGAGGAACCCTACGGGGAGGTGGCAGGTAAATAGGTGTTCTGGTGGATCCAGTCGGGTTGAAAAGTAGCCCTAGAGTACACAAATTTAAAATTTCACTCTTACTTGGGCGTGGTGGCTCACAGCTGTAATATCAGCACACTGGGAGGCTGACGCAGAAGGATCACAAGTTCGAGCCCAGCCTCGGTAGTCTAGTGACCCTGTCTCAAAATTAAAAAAAAAAAAAAAGTTAAAAGGGGTGGGGATGTAGCTCAGTGCAAGGCCTGGGTCACTCTCAAGTACCGAAAAAAAAAATCCTTATGGGAGAAATCCTGGAAACATCTGTGATTTTATGACTGTAGCATGGGACAGGATGTCAATAATAGTTGCTGTATTGCTCAACTTCTGTGTTGCCATGACAACACAACTCAATCTGTTCTAAAGATACTAGAAATATGCGCGTGCTTTCTGGAACCAGACACGAATATAATTGCTTTCCACCTTCTCACTCCATCCTGTCTGGGAGAGAGGCAGCCAGGTTAGGATGAAGAATGGAAACAAAAACAAAAACAAAAAACAGCTGGGGCATGTCTGGTGAAAAGCCAGGCACAGATGACACAGTGGCTAAAACAGGCACCTGAGCTTGTTTCCCTCCTGCTGGAGTTTGTATCTGGGATGTCCTGGAAAGGCTCCAGTTTGGTTCTCTGGGAAGGTGGTGGGGTCTGGGGGTGAGCTTCAGGCCCCGGAGGATGAGCTCTCAGTGGGGATTGTGGGATCATCCTCTTCCTCTTCACTTCCTAGCCTTGAAATCAGTGGTCCTGCTCTGCCATGCTGCCCCACCAGGACGTGCAGTTTCACCACAGGCTCAAAAGCAACGGAGCCAAGCTGAGTATGACAGTGCACTCCTGTCAGCCCAGCACTCAGAGGCTGAGTCAAGAAGATCACTGCTAGTTTGAGGACAGACTGGGCTACACTGTAAATTCAAGGCCAGCTTAAGCTTCATAGAACTTGTCCCAGAAAAACACAACAGAGACAACCAATCATGGACTGAAACCTCCTAACCTGTGAGTGAAATAAACCTTTCCTCACAGTAACAGAAAGCTGTCTAACACAGACTCCTGTTTCCTCTTAGCTTTTGTTCCTTTGTGAGGTTGTGGATAGGTTTTTTTCCCCTGTCAGGGCTGGGCACCCCACTAAGGCTGACTCCCATAGGGAAAAAAAAGCAGAAGTTGGCCAGGCATGTAATCCCAGTGCTCTGGAAGCCGAGACAGGAAGATTGCTGTGAGTTTGAGGTCAACCTGGACTCCATAGTGAGTTCAAAGCCAGTCTGAATACATAGAGTTTGTCTCAAAAAACAAAACAAGTAGAAGCCTCATGTTAACCCTGGTGGCTTTGTGGATTCCTGCATCTAACCTTGACCCTAACCACCCGGAGGGACTGGCGTCTGTGAACTGAGTCTGGTTCCCACCGGAAACAGGAGAGTCCAGAGGGCCAAAGGTGTCTTAGTCACTTTCCTTGCTGCTGAGACACAATACCTGACAGCCACAACATAACGGAGGGCAAGTTTATTTTGGCTCACGGTTTAGACGAATCAGTCCTCACAGCTTGGTGGAAGGGCAGAGGAGAGCTTCTTATGGTTTTAGCAGCCAGGAAGCAGAGAGAGAAGCCAGGAAGCTTCAGAGGGAGATAAACTTAGGCCCTGTCCACCTGACTGCCTCTTCCCACCACTCTCCATTCCTTAGAGCAAGTCAACTATGGCATCCCAGTAACCTTCCAAAAGCTCTGCCTTTGAGCATATGAGGCTCTCTGGGGAACATCTAGATCGAAACCATAACAAGTGGTTCCTTGGAGGAAGACTCATGTACATTCAGTGGAAGGAGGGCTGCAGCAGAAACAGTGTGGACGAGGAGACTTGGGTTCTGTTGTCTGACACTTATAACCATTTCTTCTCTTCGGCCTCAGTTTCCTCATGAAAAGAGACATTGAAGCTGGGCATGGTGGAACATGTCTGTAATCTACACCCTGAAAGCTGAGACAGGAGAACCTCAAATTCAAACCCAGTCTGATCAGTTTAGAGGCTTAGCCAGAGCCTATGTAAAAAAAAAGAAAAAAGCATTAATTAGGGAATTGAGTAGGAGCTCTCTGTGGTCTCTTGCAGTGTTCGTGTGAATGACAGTTTAATACCATGTCCCCTGAACCCTCAGCTTTTGCAGAGCTGGCTCCCCACATTGTCAGAAGTTCTGTTGGTTCCTACCCTCACCTCAAGGCTAATCCCCATTCCTACTTCTGCTTTGTTATGTTAACCTCCTTCATTTCTGTTTCTTCTCTTTCCTGACCTTAGAACTTTTCTGCCAGACGCATTGGTTCCAGGTCTTGGTCTGTCACTTAGGGTCATTCAGGCTTTGAGCCTGGTCCTGTGTATGTTAGTGCCATTACTTGTCACATTCAGCCTTGAGTCTCAGGTCAAAGTTCAACTCTTACTGAACCTGAGGGAAAAGTAGGCCTGAGGTGGTAGTGGTTTCAGTACTGGGTATTGAACCTCAGGGCACTATCACTGAGCTACATACCAGCTTTTTTCATTTTTTATTTTAAGACAGCTTCCACTAATTCAATGAGTTGCTCAGGTGGGACTCAAACTTGTGATCCTCCTACCTCAGCTTCCCTCAACACTAGGATTACAAGCATATGCCACCAAGCCAAGTTTAGGTCTGCATTTTGATGCTCTCATATTTTGTACATTCTCCACTCTCATCCCTCACACGATGTATCATAATTGTTTTCCCTGCATGTCTCCCTGATCACTCCTAGAACTTACATTTTATATTCATATTGGAATTTCCAGGGTTTAATAATTGTCTCATCTATAATTTACATGAAAATAATTGATATTCTTCCTATCCCCAGATAACCAGTTGTTCATGTATTAAAAAATGTTGGAAGAGGGTCCGGGGTTTAGCTCAGTGGTTCCGCCACCTGTCAGGTGCAGGGACCCAAGTTTGATCCCCAGTACCAAAAAAAAAAAAAAAAAAAATGTTGGAAGATCCTCAACAAAAAGATTATCGGAAGTGGCCTGACCTGTCTGTTTCCCACTGTCCACTTCTGGCGATGCATGTGGCTCCTTGGCCCTGTCCTAAAGAGGTAGGAAATTAGGGAGGGACAAACCAGGTAACCGCTAGGAAGAGCCTGGCAGGCAGGCAGATGCATGAACAGATGCGGGGCTCATGCGCAGAACACAGGCTCTGAGATAACAGCTCAACCCTGACCTGGGTGGGACCCATCGAACAGCACCATTTTGATTCTTCATTCACCTCTGCCCTGAAAGCGAGTGGGTCTTTGATGGGATAGCTTAACTCTGACGTCAGGAGAGGTGATAGGACCACGATCCCGAATGCCTTGTCTGCTAGGGAGAACCTGTCTGGAGATGCAGAGCCCGGCCATTATCCCACAGGCTGCTGTGGGCCTTTTCACTCTCCGCTCTCACGCTAGAGTTTACTTCTCTCTACCTTCAGTAAATGTCAATCCTCACTATCTTTTCTGTGTCCAAGTCTTTGTTCAGGACACCAAGTAACTGGAAAGCTTCTCTTTTGAATCTAGAAGCCAGTAACACCAGTCCCACTAGAGCAGCCTCTTTATTTTTATTCTGTTTAAAAACGAAAAGATAATTTTGAATTTGTAGTACAGCAACAACAGAAAGACCAAAATACATTCTACTCAGATATTTTACTAATATTGTCCTAGATTCATTCGCCAAACATTTTTGTGTACATGCACACACACACACATACACCTGTTCTTGATATTGTGCATGTAGGACTGAGGAAAACAAGGAAGCACATGCATACATGAAGTTTACAATCTTATTTGTCAAAAATGAGATAAATTAGTGAAATATGTAGGATTTATGTGCATTTCAGTGCTAAAGAGAAATACAGATGTGTGGGTTGGGAAAGTGTAAGAGTGTGCACGGTTTCAACAAAGTGGTTAGGGAAGAAATCATCTGAAAGGTGAAATTTGAGTAAAATCTGAAAGTTAAATGAGGAGGTCACAGAGAAAGAGCATTCCAGATAGAAGGGTTAGCAAGTGCAACGACACTGAGGCAGGTATATTCTGGGAGGTCAGTGTGGGAGAGAGGAACAGATGTGTAGAAAAAAAATAGAGAAGGTTAGAAAGATAATGAAAGTATATCATGGCTTTGGTTTCTGTTTTTACTTAGAAACGGGGAGAGAATAGATTTTTTAAAGAAGGGTAGTAACCCTGAAACACCTTGTGTGCTCTAGAGAGTAAGCTGTGAGGACCCATGACAGAAGCGGGACACCCAGGAAGGTTATTGCAGCAATCATGTGAGAAATAGTGGTGGTTTGGACCCATGTGTAGTCAGAAATCTGATGAGCAGTGGTTTTTTGGATTTGGGATAGTTCCTGAAGATAGAGTCAGTAAGATTTCCTTATTGGGTGGACTGGACTTAGGCATAACAGAAGTGTAACAAGACTTGAGGAAATCTCTACAATGTTTTGACTTGAGCATTAGCAAGAATGGATGTCTTAGCTACTGTTCTCATTGCTGAGAAAAAATAAATAAAAATAAAAACACCACCCAGGTATAAAGGAGGGAAAGTTTACTTGGCTTACAGTTCACAGAGGTTTCAGTCTATAATCAGCTGGCTCTAAGGCAGGTGGCTTGGCTGAGGAGAAACATTTTATGGTGGCCAAAAGGTAGCAAAGCAACAAG